CATTCAAGTCATTGTGCAATTATCTGAAGACTTCTAAATTCTCAATTCAGTTAGATGAGACTACTTTACCAACTAATGAAGCATTCTTGTTGTCATACGTGAGGATTATTGAAAAATGGAAACTGGAAAATTGAAAATGGAACTACTATGTACCTGAAATTTAGAGACGAATACAAAAGGAGAAGCCGTATATACACTGGAAAAATTTTGTGAACAATATTATATCAGCTGCTACGGATGGCGCTCCGGCTATGACAGGACGTCACAAAGGCTTCATAGCGTACTTGAAAAATAAAATTCCAGATGTGCTCGTTGTACATTGCGTCATTCATAGGCAACATTTGGTTGAGAAAAATTTGAGTGAGCGTCTCTCTCAATCACTGCGATATATCATCAAAGCAATCAATAAAATCCGAAACATCTTTTTAAATGACAGATTATGTAATCAGATTTGTGTTGCTAATGATAAAGATTTCAACCAATTGCTATTTCACACTGGAATGCGTTGGTTATCAAAAGGTAACTGTCTGACTCGATTCTACAATCTATTTGACTCTGTGATAGAATTCTTGGAAAACAAAGACAAAGAATTGCACGACAACCTCATCACTTCAAAGAATGGTATTGCGTACTTGACATACCTGTATAAATTATTTAATGATGTCAAACTCCAACTTCAAGGTGACGACTTAAATATGATTAAAACAAAAAATGTCATTGCTGCTTTTGTAGCCAAATTGCTCTTATATCATCAGACGTGACTTTCGCAATTTCTCTAATTTGTCAGCAGTATCCTTCAACAACGACTGGCTTGTTTACTACTAACATTTGGAGAACCTCCACAGTGATTTCGCAAAACGATTCCAGGATATTTTAAAATTGGAAATACCGGACTGGGTGTTGGATCCTTTTTCAAATGTCAACACAGCAGGATCACCCCAGCTGGAAGAAGAACTCATAGAACTGATAACGAACGAGCAAATAAAGCATTCCCATCATCGTATTTGTGTGAACGTGGATTTAGTGCTGTGGCAACGTTGCTAACTTAAAAGAGAAATCGGTTGCAGATTACCGATCGCGGTGACTTACGGCTGTTTTTGAGTAAATTCGAGCCTGATATCAACAAACTTGCTAAAAATCATCAATTCATCCTCCACATTAGATTAATTTTAAAATTCAAATTGAAATGTTTCTTTTAATAACATGAATAAAAGTTTTCCTAATATTACAAAATGGTATTTTACTCTACCCTCATCAGAAAGTCTTATTTTCACATGACACACATAACTTAATTATTGAAATAATGACGGCGATTGTGATTCTTAAAATGTAGTGAAGTAAAAAAATTTGGGAGCGTTAAAAAATAATTAATTCTTGAAGTGGGCGGTAAAAAAAATAAATTGGAGAACCTCTGATCTAAACAAAGCTAAGTTTGAAACTTTTAATGTTTCCATTAATTATCCAATTTGTAGTCAAAATGTATGAACACAAATAATTGTTTCATTTGACTCTTCAATGGTTTAAATTATACAGTAACTTTTCAAGGTGAACTAAAGGTTATGCATACAAAAAACAGTAAAAATAAGAAAGATGTGATGTAACATTTATGGTGAGAATCATCACGAGGACTGGCTCTGCCATATTTCCATAAACAGAATATTGTTGGTAAATGAATTCATTTGAAATTAATCATATGATTGAATAGAACTGACCGATACTTAATGAAAATCCATATTAAAACTCATTAATGCAGTTTATTGTATGATTTTCACTATAAAGTGTTTTACCAAAACCGCGGTTTTTGTAAAACCTTTTACACTGTATTAATGAGTATTAATTTTATGAATTATCCTTTCGAAATTTGCTCTTGCGAGAGAATATTGAATTTTTTTCACGAAGAACAATATTTTCTCGAGAATATTTTATTCAGTTGCGAAGAGTCCACATTTAAAATAATGAAAGGTATATGAGTATACAGGGTGGGCCATCAAAAACTTGACATGGAGGTTTTGGGTACTAATCTTGCAAATCCTAAAAAACGCTCAGGCAGGTCGATTTTTATTGGGAGAGGGACAGTTTTTTACCCATTTACAGCGCCGTCACTTCAACCGCGGAACAGAAGGGTGAACAACCCTTGGAATTTTAATAGGGAACTGGGTGCGAGTCGTACATCCTTTGAAAGATCTTAAAATTCTCTAAACAACAGTGAATTTTTTTTTTAAATTTGGACGAACCATATTAAATTTGGAGTTGAAATTACTTACTTTATTCTCATGTTAGCATATGCTCAAAATGAGCATCTCCAGCTTACATGCAATAATAGAGATTCTGCTGGAAACGTTTTCGAACATTGTGGAGCATTTCTGGAGTGATTTGGCGACATTCATTAGTGATTCGTTGCCGCAAATCTTCAAGTGATCCAGGAGGAGTACAGTAAATTCTGCCTTTCAAATGACTCCACAGGAAGAAATGTAACGGCAAAGAGTCTGGTGACCGTGGTGGTCATTCGATAGTGCCCCGCCTCCCACTATGCTATGCCTGCCGAACTATGCTATGCCTGCCGCACTATGCTATGCCTGCCGAACAGGCATAGCATAGTGCGGAGGAGCCCCATCTTGTTGAAATATTAACAGATCCTCTCGATAAGTGTGGTCATTTTCAATAATATCAGTGAGAAGGGGATTAATAGTATCTTCCAGAAGCTCCAGATACATTTGTCCGATTAAGTTGCCTTCTAAAAACTATGGGCCAACAATACAGTCATCAAAAATTCCAGCCCATACATTTAGTTTTCGTGGACGTTGAGTATGCACTTCATGAAGAATGTGAGGATTTGAATAAGTCCAATAGCGACAATTATGGCGATTAACTGTGCCATTTATAAAAAAAGAACATTCATCACTGAAGCAAATGTTGAAAACAAAATGTGTATTTTCCACCGCTTGTTCACTAACCAACTCACGAAATTGCAAGCGTTGATCGAAATCATCTTCATTCAGTTCTTGCGTTAATTTAATCTTGTAAGGATGCATTTTGTGGGTTTCTAAAACACGCCGAATGCTAGTACGCGACACCCCGGAAACAAATGCTAACTTTCTTGTGCTCAAAGTATGGTCAAGCTCAACATGGCCCAGTATTGCCACTTGTGTCGCCTCATTTGTTACTGGTGGTTCGATTTACCGTTTTTTATTTGCTACAGATCCATTCGCGCGAAATGTTGCAATCAAATCGAAAACATACTGTCACGACACATTCTTCTCATGTTGTTGATTGAACAATTCAGCGGCTCTCGCGGCACAACGTCTATTTTCATATTACAGTTGTGTAAACCCTGTTTCTTTAGCAACACTTTACGGCACTCACTACTAGTAATAATGTAGATATCACTTTTAACATAAGAATGAGAAATAGAAACAGCATTTTTAACCATTTCTCAATTGTATTAGTCCTCTTATCAAAAAAGTAGCGTAAGAAACAAATGAAAGAATTCCAAATACATTCCAACTGAGCAGTGGCGTACAACAATTTGTTAGTATTAACCATATTGAAAAAGTTAATTATCGGAAAGAACTCTTTTAAATACGTCCAAATTTAACAAAATATACACCATTATTTAGAAAATTCCAAGATTTTTCAAACCATATATGACTCGCCTCCTATTCCCTATTGGAATTTCAAGGGTTGCTCACCCCTCTGGAAAAAACCTGTCCCCCTCCCAATAAAAATCGACCTGTCTGAGCGTTTTTTTGGATTTGCAAGATTGGTACCCAAAACCTCCATGTCAAGTTTTTGATGGCCCACCCTGTATACACAATTATTACAACTATTCGACAGAAATCCTCATTGAGTTAGAGAAGTGATAACCAAAATAGGTGGTCGATGAATATTTCGAATGGCATATTCGGGGATCAGATCATGTGACCATATTTCTCCAATGAGTGCCTGAATGAAAAAATCTAGAGAAATATCGTCTGAGATGATTTTTCAAATTTATTGAAAATATAGTGATTGATACCATAAACAATTGTACCCTTAGATTTTTCACTTTGAGAATACTTCAAATGATCAAGACATTTATTGGACACATATAAACATGAAGAATATTGTTATAGGAATCTTCACAAGAATCGTCAATTGGAATTTGCAAAGGAATTGTAAACTAATATGAATAATATGTAAATAACTCCACATGAGTTTACTGCTATGAATTTACTTATTTTTCGCTTGTTTTGACCAGCACTGAAAAAAATAGTTATTGATTTTACAACTTTTCCATATTTTTCCCAAGAATGAAAACCTACTCATTTCATTCTAAATGGAAACATATCAAGTCTATTTCAGCTGATAACAACCAAAACTGTTTTTCATCCATCACAGAAGAAGATATATTTTCGATATTAGGTTTTTTTAACCCATAACCGATTTACACAGACCTCTTGATTTACTTAATATGAAAAAGTTGGGATATATATAAATTCTGACATTCTCAAAAGAGTTGAATCCTGGATTCATAGTTAGATTCTGCCCATGGTAAATTATATTAGGAATTTCAAACTAAAATTTGAACAGATTTTTTTCAGTCAGTGTTGTCTTTCAACCAACCAATGAAGAACAGTAAACCTTCGAATTGAAAAACTATTTATGCTAATTATTATGAAAAAACAAGACTCATATTCCTAGAAGTCGATTCATGATTATATTTACCTACTACAACTACTCGAGGACAATGACACTTGGCAGAACCTTCTTATTGTTGAGTTTCAAAACAATAAAATTGATCCTTTACATTCCAAAGATTACTGGATTATTGTAAAGTACCATTATTCAAACAGGCTCAGAATTCACAACTGACCTGACCATTCAAATTATAATAGTTCTAGTCAGATAATTCAGATTTCAGATGAGTTCAGTTGTCCTGGTGTAATCAATTCCACTAACAATAATCTTCTATAATCCGAAATTCACAGTTTACTATTAAGTTGGATAGGAAAACAACTTACCTGTGTTGCAGGTATTACTGAAGACATATAACCAGAAGGCTGTTCGAGGTAAATAGGATGTTTTGCAAGAGATTTTTCGTAATACCCCTCATAACCTCTATACCCGTCATAATAAGGATACGTCTGATGAGGTATATATGGGATCGGGGGTTGTTCTGGCGTTTTGTACAATGGTTGCTGTAGTTCTGGTGGTATTTGGGTAGATGTTGAAGAAACTACCTCATTTTCTGTTGAAATTTGGCTGATCGTCGCCAGTAGAATCAAGATGTTTAAGAACCTATCCATCTTATGAAGTATGCGATGAGTATATACTCTGAAAAAATCGACTTATCTTAATTATCATTCGTATGACATAATACAACATCAGTATAATACAAGATCAAAAACCAATAAATACTTTCAAATTGCTAAGTGTAGTCTACATTTAATGCAACAACACTGCATATGTATTGGTTGTAAAATTTACAATATAATTCCACGAGAAATTAAAAAGTTGAGAACAACAGCATTTAAAAAAAACATTACACAATTGGATATTAGATACCTAATCGGGAAAAAAAATAAAATTAGGTCACATTGAAATAATTCAGTTCAACAGATAATTTATTTTACCCTCATTCATAATAAAATACTATTAGAGATACTCATTTCAATTTATTTTTTCATGAAGAATGTCTATTAACAGTTAACAAAGTCTTTATTTTTCAACCAACCCAGACAAACACAAGTGTTTACACTTAGAAGACTGTGTTAAAATATTACGCATATACTAACATTTTTTTAATATTTATAGACATTCATTTGATATTGTACATTTGTTAATAAATTTGAATATGAATCTGAAAAATCTACAGAAGAAAGTTGACAAAAAATATATGTGGTTTTTAAATGCACTCTGTTTCCTAATAGAAGTGTGACATATGCTCATTGTGAAACGCTAGAGTGCTGAAACAAAATTTTGTTATGATTTGCCACTGCTGTATAAGAAGATTTATGATACTTTACCGGGCCGGGCCCATCCTATTTTTATAACGCAAACAGGTATCAAACAAAATATTTTATGAACGCCATCTATAGTGGCGTGCTGTGTACTTACTCAAAAATACTTGTTTTGAAACCAATAACTATGTTTATTCATTTATATACAGGGCTATTTAAATTCTTTTCTGTATATGGGAATCTCGTAAACGATAAGAGATAGAGTGTCGGTCAAAGTGTGGCATAGTTGCGTATTTTAGAGACCTATTCAATGATGTGAAAAAATCGAATAAAGCTCTTTTGGTTCTTGAGATATACAGGAAAAACCAAAAAAATCCCAAATTATGTTTTTGCCTATATCTTCTTTATTCGCAGACATATTGAAAATCTGTATACACTTTGCCATTGGAACTTGATGTGGGCTACCATGAATATTTTATACAGGGTATTATCTGACTTGGGCCATCCCTATTTTTGAATTGTTGAATACAGACCTGTATTTTTCCTTGTAGTTTTTGTATCGTCGATGTTCATTTCATACTTAGAAATCAAATTCAATTGTATATTTCTGGATTTTTCGGTAATATTTGATTGTAATTGTGGGAATTATTCCATTTTAAATTACGGTCCTGGAAATTGGTTGACTGAGTTGTATAAGTGCACAATAGCAACTTCTACATCTCCCTGTGTACCATAGAGTTTTTCGAGATTTTTTTTTTAATTTTTAGGTACCTATTCATATTTTTTCCATTGCTCTGAGCGTTTTCTACAATGGACTTCGAATAAGAAAACCTTTTATGATTATCTGAAGCATATCTACAACAAAAATATATTATATGTGTTTTGATAGGTATAAAAAGAAATAACAGCAATAATAACATCCAAAACGAACACTATAATTGTAATGAAAATTGAAATGAAGTAATTTATATACACAAAAAAATTAATGGCACAATGAATGTTCGAATTGGAGTCCTTCCATTTCGAGACATTTTTGAACTCTGTTTTTCATATTATTTATTGCCCTCAATACACTTATTTGCTGCATTGTTGCGAAATCATTCAAAATCCCCAATCTCGAGTCTTCAACATTTTCTATTTCTCTGCCAGCATAAATCCTATTTTTCAATGTCCCCCATAGAAAATAGTCCAAAATAGTAAGATCTGGGGATCTTGCAGGCCATCTCGTGGCCTGCAGGCCGTGTTAGGAATCACACGTTAAAAGGTAAGACCTCGTTAATCCTTAGCTCGCACAAGTTTCGACTTCTGAGGGTTGTCGTTCGTAGGGGTGCGACAGCTGGTTAACGGAAAAACAGATTTTAAACAGATTTTTAAACAGATCTCAATGGCCCATTATTTGTCTCGAAATGGAAGGACTTCAATTCGAACATTTATTACGCCAATGATTTTTTTGTATATATACATTACTTCATCTCAATTTTCATTACAATTACAGTGTTCGTTTCGGATGTTATTATTGCTATCATTTCTTTTCCTGCTCATCAAAACACAAATAATATATTTTTGTTGTAGATATGTTTCAGATAATCATAAAAGGTTTCGTTATTCGAAGTTCATTGTAGAAAACGGTCAGAGCAATGAAAATATGAAAAAATATGAATTGGTACCTAAAAATGAAAAAAAAAACTCTCTTAAAACTATACGGTACATAAGGAGACGTTGAAGTTGCTATTGTACTTTTATTTAACTCATTCAACCAATTTCCAGGGCAGTAATTTAAAAAGGAATAATTCACCCAATTGTGATCAAATATTACCGAAACATCCCGATATATAAAATAAGATTGAATTTCTCAGTAAGACGTGAACGTCTACGATACAAAAACTACAACAAAAAATACAGGCCCGTATTCAAAAATTCAAAGATGGGGGTGGCCCAAGTCAGATGACACCCTGTATAAAAGATTCATGGACATATTCTGATAGCCCACATCAAGTGCCAATAACAAAATGTGGACAGATTTTCAATATGTCTGCGAATAAAGAAGATATTCCTAGGTGAAAAAATAATTTGGGATTTTTTGGTTTTTCCTGTATATATCCAGAACCAAAAGAGCTGTATTCGATTTTTTACATCATTGAATAGGTCTCTAAAATACGCAACTTTACCACAATTTAACCGACACTCTATCTCTTATCGTTTACGAGATCCTCATGTACAGAAACGAATTTGAATAGCCTTGTATAATCGACTGTATTGCCAAACATGCGCCAAACTAACTGACTTTTATAAAAAAAACAATAATAGCTGAGGCACCAGTCTATCCGATAATAACACTGATGATCTTCACACGTGACTCAACCTCTGACGAAATCACCAAACTCTTACGAAGGTTCGAAATAAATGAACACTTCAATCTAGTAGACTATTATTATAATCTGCATGCAGTCATTGTTCACTGTGGTTCTGGCGTTGAATCTGATCATTATTACGCCTTGGTCAAAGACGAAACGGACTGATTTAAGTATTGGCAGATCAAGATCTTCAGACGATGTGGTGCTGCAGGTTTTTCCGGGTTTTCCTGCAGCTGAAAAAGCAAATGCGCCACTGGAATCAATGAAGTCGCCCGGGAACGCCAATAATTTTTGTTATTGTTTTATAATTTCAAGATTTGTATTTTAGAATTATTAAAATATAAGTTAATTTACTAATAATAGTGTTATAACTCTGTTATATATCTCAATTAGACTTTCTTGTTGCTTGTTGTAGCAATAATAAATTGAAACTCAATGTGGAGAAATGTAAAGTAGTGAGTTATATATTCCCGTATGTAATACAGGATTCAGATCTGCTGAGATGTAATGAGATCAAAGACCTAGGAATAATATTCGATTATAAATTAACACTTGGTAGACATATTTCACAAAAAGTTTCAGAATCTCTCAGAGCTTATGGTTTCATTGTTATAAATTGCAGAAACTGTCATAATATTGAAGCCATGAAGCTGTTGTATTTCACCTACGTACATTCAGAGATAAAATATGCAAGTATCATCTGGAGTCCATTCTATGAGATTCATAACATAGGCATTGAAAGATTTCAAAGGAAGTTTTGTAAATTTCTAACTTTCAGAATAGATAGTTCTTACCCTGAGAGAGGTATCAGTAATGGTTTTATATATGAACGTTTGGAACTTTTCAGTTTAAATCATCGCAGAAAATGTGCGTCGCTCATATTTTTATTCAAGTTAGTGAATGAAAGAGGTGACTGTCCTGAAATTTTTGAACAAATTAACTTCAATGTACCACGGCCAGCTTCACGATCTCAATCCATTTTTAGACCTCTCAGAGCAAGAACTAACATTATGCTCAATTCCCCTATATATGTTATGTGCACAAATTTCAGCAGCATTTAAACCCATGGTGATTCATTCTTGACTAACCTTCATAACATTATTAGAACATTGAACATTCACTTGAAGTAGGTAATTAGAATTACTTTTTCTTTATTGTTCATTTTATTTTTTGTTTATGATTAAGTATTGTGAATAAAATTTTATATTGTCCTGTAATTGGGTAACTGTTGGACAATAAAGCTATTATTATTATATCATTATCATTATTAGTATAAAATTTCAATTTCAAATATTTACATAGGTATTTTATTCAAGAAGGTCTTTACCTTCACATGCATTATATAATCACATCATACATACATCACATTGATAATCCAAAAGGAAAAACAATTCTAGATGTTCAATTGAAAAAAAATCTATTGATTATACGAGTATTCAATATTCTTGTTACTCACCGTATACATACAATTAAAAAAATCTTTTGAGAGTTATTATATCAAATCATACCATATTTTCCATCAATTACGCATTATTTAATTAACAATTTTTCATTAACTGAAAGTTAACATGGAAACCCTGATAATTAACAAACTGAAACCCTAGATTTTTTTTTTACTTCGTGAAGTTATTCTCTATAGGCTAATGAATAGACTGCTTTCGCGAAAATGAAAAAATTTTCATTTTCCACTTTTTTATTACCAATTGAAAATTAAAAATTGAAAAAAGTATGTTAAATTTTTTTCTCAATCTTGATTGTTTCAATGTCTAATGGTTGAAAGCTACTTGAATATTTTTTTTTAATTTTTTACCTATTCAAACATTGTTATTCACTAATACATTGTTTGTGGGTACACCTAAAAATTTATTTTTCGTAATTAACTTATTGATGAGGATTATGAATTTCAGGAAAAGAAGGGTTCCCCAAAAAATTCATGTGTTGCTAAAAAATATGTTCATTTATTAAAAACCGTTTATTGCTACCAAATATTGAAATTAAGGATTCATAAATTCTAATGATTTTC